TCTTTTTTGACAAATTTTATGCTAAAAGTCTTACAACAACTAAAAGGGCAACAAGGAATAAAAGCAAAAACAGAAATAAAATAATAGATAATAATAATAATCTAAAATGCTATACAAATGCTAAGAGTCTAAAACCAAAATCATGAAATTAACAAATAAAAATAGATAAGAATTATCACTAAAAACAAAAAATAAAAATAGGATGAAAATTATTTAAAAATTTGGTGTCTACAACATGTTTGAAGGTGTGGAACAATAAATTAAATATACATATGAGCCGTAAAATCAATTAAAAGCAAAGTAAATTTTTATATGTCATAAAAGATCATAATAGTTACACTAAGTTAGGATAAATTCATCAAATCATTTCAAAAGAAAGGGGAACAATAAGATCATGGCAAAATGTGCTAAGTTGCAAATATACAAAACAACAAAAGGATTTCATCTCCTATACAAAAGATTACAACCTCTAAAATTGTCAGTTTAGACTAGGGTATAACTATAACCCTTATCTCCCAAGTGGAGTCAGATCCATCCCCTTTCGTAGAACTCCTACTACATGGATCCCTCTCTCATCCATTAGCATTAATCACTACCTTTGGCACTCGACTGTTTTCCAACGGAACTAACAGGTTGTTGAGAATTTCCTCCTTCCTTAGAAGCACTAGGGCAATTCGAAATCTGATGCTCAGCACTACCGCAAATCAGATATTTTTCTTGTTTTCTCCAGCACTCGACCTCAGTATGGTTAAACTTACCACAATATCCACAAGTTATGTGAGGAGTCACGGCCTGACCAACTTGAGAACTTCCTTTTTTCTGATCTCGTCCACTCTGATTTTCTTTTGTTGGGGCTCCCCTTGATAGAGTTCCTCCGAGTTTTTCGAGCATCCTCATTCCTCCAACCCCTCTTCTCACTTTAAGGGGTTGGGTAGACCTCTCGAACAGTTTAGGGGCATCGCTTGGGTTACCCCTCTTTCTAGCATAAAAAACTTTAAATTGAGACTTAGCATATTCTACCCTCTATGCCTTATCCAAGGCACCGTAAAAGTGGTGATCTGGGTGGCTGCTAAAGATTCTTGGATTTCAACATTTAACCCTTGAATAAACCTCCTTATCCTTTTGCGCTCCGTGATCACTAATTCAGGGGCAAATTTGAAAAGTTTGGAGAACCGTTCCTCATACTCGGCCACACTTAGTAACTCTTGTTTCAACCTAATAAAGTCATCCTCCCTCTTTTCTTGTATCATTGGTGGGAGGAATTTGACATTAAACTCCCTCTCAAAGTTGGCCCAAATCCAGGGGGTTTGTTCTCTTTCCCACTTCACTTTCACAACATTCCACCACGAGCGTGATGCGTCCTCAAACTAGAAAACAGCAAAATTCACTTGCCTTTCCTTGACATAATCTAAAGTAGCAAAAATCACTATCATCCTTTCAAACCAATTTTTAGCTACCACGGGATCAGACCCTCCACGAAAACTTAGGTGGGACAAATTTCAGGAATCGCTCTAAAACTCTATCCTCAACCCTCTCTAGGTTCCCACGTTGGTTGATTGGCTCAGGGCCTTGGCGCTCAACTAAATGCTCCAGGATATCTATTATGCGGTTAAGGGCCGTAGCCACTTGGCCATTCCCTTCATTCCTAGGGTTTAGATTTTGGCCAGTCGCAGATCCCGCACCTCTCTCGGGAGTGTGGGGTTGCCGAAACCCATGCCCATGCCTTCTTCCACATTCTCGTCGATCTATTTAGCAAGATTCTAAACGCTTAATTCAAAGAGAAACAATAAGCGTAGAAATTAAAAAACATGTACAAGTTGCAAGAACACTTTAGAATCAAAGTATAGATTTTTACATAGGTTAAAAGTCATGTCACATGTCAAGAGTGCATACAACGAGTCATTAATATCAAATACAAGACATAGGCATCCAAGTGCCTCAAAATACAAGGGTACATGCAACAAAATACAAAAGGCCTCACGGCGAGGTTCACCCTTTCTAAGTTCTGAACAGAAGTCAAAAGTCAAAAGGTCGGGAGATCACTAATACAAGTGAACCGAACTAGAAGACCCTGCAGCCTCAGAAGGATCCTTCTCGGGGTCTTCCTCGGGATCCTCCTCCATAGGCTCTATCTCTACCTCCACAACAGGTGCAACCTCTCCAGATACATCCCCAAGTAAAGCCTCCTCTATACGGTCAGCCATGGCTCCACACTCAGTCATAATGTCATCCACGCGATTTCCTGTCTCTTGGACAATTCGGATAAGGCGCCCCTTGGTCTCCTGAAATTGAGCATGGGAGGCATCAGCCCTCTGACGCTCCTCAAGTACCATAGCCTCTAGCTCTTGGATCCGAGCAGCCTAGACCTCTATAGTGGCCACCATCTCCTCTCTCTTAACTCGTGCTATCCTGAGGTCACGGGTCAACTGCCTCCGCTCCTCGACTACCTGTAACACCAAGTGGTTATGGTAGGAGAATCTCTCTCGGCATAGGCACGTCCTACCCCGCCTAGCAGGTGAGTACCGCATGAGGTATCTGCCTTCCACCATACGATATGGAATCATGGGGAGAGGTTCCTCAATTCTATCATCATCACTGCTACTATCCATATCCTACAAATAACCCACAAAACTAAAGGTTAGATTCTTATAATCACTGATACCATTCAAAATTTAACTTAAGCTTTATCATGAATTTCTATAACCAAAAGTTCATGACTAAGAACTCCTAACCCTATTCTAGGTATTTCAAACCTAGCACTTTGATACCAATTGTGATGCCCCCACCTCTCCTTAGGGCGAACCCTAGGGTATCAGCGGAACGCCTGCCCAACTCTCGTTAGGACTCACGCCCTCGTTCAAGCTTAATAGAGACTCACAAATCAACCATCGACTTAATTAAGAAATACTTCAAATATACAAGCCACAACTGTTAAGGCTAGCAATTACAATTACAATCCACCATACCCAAAAATAACAAATTTTACACTTTAAGAATCTCCAAGATCATTACACTCTCGGCCGAATTTTGCCACGAAAAACGTGTATTCACTATTTCTTACTAAACGAGCCGCAGAAAATTAAATTTACTAGCGAAACGTTTTAAAGTATAAAATGAAACATTGCTCCAAGCAAATGAAATTAAAATGGATGAAATGAATTAATTGGAGTAAACGAATAAATAAATAATTAAATAAGTCAGTAAAATAAGATAAAAATGCGTAAAATAAATATTTGGGTCCTCACATCATGTCCTCTTTAAACCTCTTCAAATCATCAATAATCATCCAATTCTCTTCTCAATTCACTCCCTTTGATGATTGAATCATTAAACCTACAAAAACATGAAGTTTTCCCCATTAAAATCCATAGAAATGCAATTTTCACACTTTAAACCATAAAATGCATATTTTCGCTAGAAACCTAGTTAATTAGCTATAAAAGTAAATAAAACACACCAAAACTAACTAATAAAACACGCTTAAAACACATAAAATATACTCTTATCAAATGCCCCACACTTGAACCATTGTTTGTCCTCAAACAATTAGAAATACAAACCAACAATGATCCAAAATTTTGAAAATAAACATATGTGCACTATCAACTTCATTTCCTCAAAATAAGGTAAATAACTATTATAAAATCACTCAACCGAGCTCAAGTACTCATAATATCAAGTAAAGAAGAGCCAATTATACTGCCATTATAACAAGTTCAAGTCAATTTTTCATCCTTACCCAAATTCACAAGCAAGCAACTCATATGGTCAATAAAACGCTTCCTAAACTCATGATCACCTTCTTATTCCAATTTAAAGAGTGATTTATTCATATAACATATATAAATATATACTTAAGTTGTGAAAATACCTTTTGACACGAAGATCGATATTTTTAGATGAAGATCATCGGTTACTCAATACTTCACATATTCAAGTTGTCTTGCATACTCTTAATTCAAGTACTATTTTACGTGAAAGTTGATATTTGTAGATAAAGACTCCCGGTTACTAGTACAAGAACCATTGGAGTAGAACAACTCTTATTTGCTTTTTTTGTGTCTTTTTCTGTTTTCTCTTTTTTTTTTCTTTTCTTCTTCTCAAAAGAATAATCATGAGAAGAATATTGTCATTATTGACCATATTTATTACTTAACTTATAGGATCAAGTAAAAAGAAGATACTTCATCAAATATGCAAAATGTAGACATAATTTTCTCCACTTTATAAGATATATTTTCCTATAAATTCACAAATTAAAATCACATAGTAGTCATTTCCAAGTTAAATGAGAAAAAAAATTTTCAAGTCACATATATTTATCTCAAAAGTAGAAGGAATTTGAGTTACTAATAGTATGGAACTTGTTACACTTGGATAAAATTGAAAATTTTGAAACTTTTTTGGGGCATTTTTGCAATTTTGGACAAGATTTTGAAAAAAAAAATTTTGGCAAAATTTCTCCTTATAAATGGACTAAACTTCCTGCCAACAAACCCAAGATTGACAACATTCAAGTGCAAGAAATATTTTCAAAGCAAGTCCAAATACCAAAGGATGTGGTCTTCCTCTAACCTTTGCAACTTCTTGGATAATGAAACGTTCAACTATTTTTGAAAGTTAATTTGTTCATTATAAGATTTGCATCTATCTTTTAACAATCTTTAATTTCTACTCATGCATTCACGATGTTTACATAATTCTATATTACTAGTAAAATTATGAGTGACTAGTTCTATATGATTACTACTTGATGATTTATGTATTTTTTTTTTAAATTAAATTTTTATTTCAGTGCAACAAATAATAAGTTCCTCTCACAGACGTCTAATTTTCCGAACAGAAGGCATTCCTATTCTATCCAGTCTAATTGCCCCGCGAGCTAGCCTCGGGAGCATATGAAAGCCGTCGTAGACCTTGACCTGCTGCTCAGGATGAGATATGCCCACATTGCATAATAAATCAGCAACTTTATTAACCTCCCTAAAGCAATGTGAGAATCAGGCATGGTCCTCGACTAACCGCCAAATCTGCCGGACTTCCCTTCGGATCTGCCACGGGCACTGAATGCGCCGCTGGAGAACCCCAACTAAGACCAATGAGTCCGATTCCACCCATAGATTAATAAAACCCCGGTGAACACACGTTTGAAGGCCAATGAGAAGGGCTAATGTCTCCGCGCGAAGACAAGTAGTTTCCCTGAAGAAAGCTAAAAACGCAACTAGAGGCATCCTAGTTGAATCCCGGAGAACCCCCCCACCTCCACCCACTCCTGGATTACCTTTGGAACAACCATCCGTATTAAGCACCAGACCCCCCATCGCCGTCACCTCCCAGCGAACAAGTTTAAAGTCAAATACACTGGTAGTCAAATGCGACCAATCAAACAACTGACAGAAAGTTTGCACCCCAAGCTTTTGCTTGAAATGGATATCCACAATGGACTTGACTTCCGAGAAGATGGATTGACAAATGACAGTAGACCGCATCTGTTCCCCTTCAAACACTGCTTTATTTCTAGCCTTCCAAATATGCCAACAGATAAAACTTGGAAGGATAAGACAAATAAAACGCCGAATCGCAGAATTGTGTGACCGCAACCACCAGTCGACTATGCGAGCTCGCAGTGAAGAGCTCGGGGAATTCTGTAACACCCCGAAAAAATAATAATAATAATAATAAGGAGGTTGTTGGTAAAGAAGATACTAAAGTGTATTTCTTTGGGTTTGATTAAAACCTTATTTTGTTTTAAAAGACTAGAAACCCTAATATTTTAGTCAAAAACCCTAGTTTACTTGTGACTAACCGGTTTTCTTAAATCTCTCACATTTTAATTGAAACCCTAATTTTAATCACTGGAATTGAAAAATTCCTCACGTTTTCTTAAAAATTTCCTTTTATTTGGAAATTATTATTTATTAAAGCCCTACTATCCAATTATTCCATAATAAGTGCAAATGAGCCTAGAAAGTAGGGTTTCATTCTTCGTTTTCAAGATTGGGGCAAATTAGGGTTTTCGCGATTTTTCGCCGGATGAATTTTCGGTACTGACCAAGGATCAATTTGGTGATTAAAAGTGACTTTTAAGTGAGAAATAATATGTGATTAGGAGCAATGAGATAAGGTTAGTGAATAGGAAGTAAAAACCCTAGTACGTGTGTTTTTAAGAAAAACGGCGCGAACCGGGAACGCACCAATTGACCACCACTTTCTTACCATACAAGTTTATTGATATTTGAGCAAAATATCCTCTTAATTGTCAGCTTGTTTGACCGAAAATTAGAGGCTAGAAATAGCAAGGAAAGAAAGAGAAAAATGAAAGGTGGAGGTGGCGACACTTGTCGCCATCCTAGAGTTTCTTGGCCAAGTGAGCAACTAACCTTCTTAAACCAATTTTCTGCACTTTCCCTTCATTATTTCTGCTGCTGGCTGACCAAAAGAGAGAGAGAAAGGGAGAGCAAAAGAAAAATTCTTTCTTCTTGAATCTTAGCCAAACCAAGTGAGAAAATCAAATTTCCAAACCGATCAAAGTGCTAATTGTGAGTTGGGAAGCTAGGGGAACCAGAAATGTTCCAAGGGGGTTGATTATCACTCATCCAAGCTTGTCTTTGAGGTATGAAATCTGATCATGGTCTTTGATCTTTTGAATCTTGTGTAAATTAGCTTAGCAACTCAAATTTGGTGGTGAATAATGGATGCTATCATGTTTTGGGGGTTTTCCCCTTTAGGTTATATGAACTAGGGTTTGATGATTTGCTGCCCAACTTGGTGTATGGTTAATATATGTTGTAATTAAGGTTATATAAGGGGTTTTGGTAGTGTTGGAAGTAAGAAATCAAGGAAGGTTGCATTGAAAATTGAAAATTTCAGAATCTGGAAAATTTTTCCCTCTTTTCTGTCCGGTTTTGTAGCCCTATGTTAGAGGCCGAATTGGCCTTAGATCAAAACATGAAAGTTGTATAGAATGATATTTTATAGGTGCCTACAAAATTTCAGCTCAATCGGAGCAACGTACCCTGTGAAAAGACCGAAATAACCCTGCTGCCCTGTTTCTACCCGAACTTGAGTATTGCTTCTGTAATTGGCTAATTTGACCAGAAATGCTTCTGATTTGGTTGTTTATTTCTTCTGATGAATTGTATCCTTGTATCTTAGCTTTCGGATGGCTTTGGAATCACTTGATTTGGACTTAGGTAGCCTAACTTATGATGTTTGAACCAGAATATGGTTTGTAAACCTGTTTTTGCGATTCTGGTGTAGTCTATGGTATTTTTGACCTTGTTACACTCGAAACTGGGCTGAGTGACCTTCTGTAATATTGTAGCCCCTTAAGTTCTGAATATTCCTGTAAAATTTCAGGTCAAACGGATTAGGGTATCATGAGTTATAGATGAAATACTCAAGCCTGTTTTGAACATCAGGTTCTGTGCGTTTTTAGTTTAGCTTCTGCCCGTGACTTTTTCGGTTTTGATACCGTACGATATGGGTGGTGACTCCTTCATAAGAAATGTAGATCTTGGTTTTGTCTTCGAAACGGTATAAAGTGCGTCGAAATCCGAGTTCCGTAGCTTCCGTTATGACCCAAACAAGATCAATCGTCAGAACTGCCTTTGAATCTGGACAGTTCTGACGGGTACTTTGACACTCAAATTTCGTTCTGTTCTAAGTGGATTCAGGTCTTGGCCAAAACATCAAAGTTTTAGCCTTATGTCTCAGCTTTCTAATGCCTTTGGAATTTCCTGATTTGGATTTGTGAGCTGGGAGTTATAGTCCAGCAAACATACCCTGTCCGTTACTTTGGAGTGCGAATTCCTGGAACGGTTTTCTGCACTTTCGACCCATCTCTGTTCAGATCCGGAGTTAGGAGTCTTCATGAAAGTTATAGAATTTTCTCTTAGATTCGCAACGGTACCTCATGTACCTTGATCCAACACTCATAGCTTCGATTAGGCTCAAAACCGTTTTGACGGCAAAATGGCTAGGCCGCCATTCCCGTTTCCGTGTGCCGTTTCCGTACTCGTATGTGCCGATTTTGTCGTTTTGCTTGTTTTAAGTATGTTAGTAGCCTTTTGTGATATATTGTGACACAATCTTCTATTTCAGACGTTGGTGAGCTTGGTGGAGCCGGTGGGGCCTACTAGCTACTCCTCGCGGCACGAATTTCGTATTTTGCTCTTTTGTTCGTTGAGTAAGTATTCAGGCCGCTCTTGGGTGTTAGTTGCTTATGTGTTTCGATATGTATGAAGAGGGTACCTAGGCGAGGGTGTACTTTATCGCACTCGACCTAACCCCTAACTTGCGCACATATTTGTCCATGACTTGTGTATATGAGCAATTTTGGAACTAAAACCCTTGAGCTTGTGGCTCGGGGTGACTTTTGAATAATTTCGTGAAGTTTGTGAGTTTAGGGCCCGATCTCATGACCTAGATGGACTATTCGAGCCGGTTAGGGCTTGGTCGAAGTCAGTCCAACCTGGTTTGAGGTCACCAAGTTTGTAAATCCGGTTCACCGAGTATGTGGACCAAGTTTGTGACCCGAGCAAGTTTGTGATTTCGTTCGCCCGGGCAAGTTTGTGAGGTGACTGGCCAGTGAGGGTGATAAGGTGTTCGGTGGGTGTACAAGTGGAGTTCTACGGACCTTAATTGTGGTCGACGGAGTGTCGACAGGAGGTCACGCATGGCACATGAATTGGCTTTGGAGCCACCCGTATCCTTATTATCGAATGTTATTTTTCTGCTTTTGCTTTACTCTTACTGTGTAACTATGGTTACGTGAAATTTACGCTTTTGCCCCTGTTTACTTACTAAGCATATAGCTTACCCCTTTCCTTTTGTTTTCCTTAGCAAGGGCCGACGCAGGGACTTTTGGCACATACACTAGTATAGTTAGATTTCCTTGTAATAGTTGGACAATTAGGATGTTTGTTTTTGTTGTGGTGGTTTGTACAAGGACCCTCCTTAGGGTCTACATTTTGGTTTTGGGTTGTAATTATAAGGATGTAATAGTATGAGCAGGCACTTTTGGGGAATATAATTATAACTCTTTTGGGATTGTATTTAGTATGTATAGTACACTTTTGGATTTTCTGGCTTTTATTGTTTTAAGTTTTGAGTCCTGGCGCGAGCTAGGCAGACGGCCCGCCGATACCCTTGGGTTCGCCATTGGGAGAAGTGGGGTCGTCACAAATTCAAACTGCACAAACCACCAAAATAAGACCAGACCTCTGACGCTACGTGACCAATGGCAAACACATGCTCAATAGATTCCTCAGACGCACCATGACAGCAAAAACATTTAGAAGGTAAATGGAACCCAAGTCTGCACAAAGCATCCGGCAGTGGCAGCCTCCCCCTCAATAAGCGCAACATAAAGAATGACACTTTCAAAGGGAGGCGAGGATGCCAAACCTTAGAGGAAATCACCGACGTGTTACGGGCTTGTCGGACGTCTCGAAAAGCAGATGCTAATGTGAATGTACCAGACGTCGATGGCACCCAAATGACTTCATCTGCACACCCTCCGTCAGGGACCGGGTATTGTAAGATGGAGGGGACAATGTCCCCTGGCAAGGTTCGAGACAAAAGACTTGCATCCCAGTGCCCATTGGTAATAAAATTACAAAACGAGAGAGATAGATCAACTGGTGCTCTAAGACATAAGGCGCCGCTGCCTAGCCAGTTATCATACCAGAAGTGACACGACCCGTCATTGACTAACCATACCATGGAAAGTTCCACGTGTCGGCTCACGTTCAACATACGCCTCCAGATAGCCGAATCCGTCAACCTCATCTCTGCCTGACCAGGATGGACCATTCTGCAATACTTAGCATGCATGAAAGCAGCCCACAGTAACGTTCCCGTACGGAAACTCCACCAGAGTTTACACGAGAAAGCTGTATAGACGTCCCTTAGCCTCCGAAACCCTACCCCACCTTCCTCAACCGGGTAACACAGTTGAGTCCACCGTATCCAGTGAAACTTCGACTCTTCGGCCGTTGACCCCCACAAAAAATTCGAGCAAACCTGCTCTATGGATTTAAAAATCGAGGTAGGAATCACAGCAGCGGATAGCAAATGTACTGGCATTGACGACAACACATGCTTGATTAAAACCATCTTGCCCCCTGCAGACAAAAACTTTGATTTCCATGATAAGACCCGTCCAAGGATAGACTGACCCACTGCTGCATAATATGAAGATTTACACCTCCCAAAGTAAAGTGGAAACCCTAGATAGCGGATAGGGAAAGGCTGCCAAGTAAACCCCGTGACACGTTCAATCACCCTTCTTCGAGCCAGGGATAGTGACGGATGAACCAAGTAGCCATTTTTTTGGGCACTTATCAACTGGCCTGAGCACCGTTGATACATCTCCAACACCTGCATAATGTCCTTCAGAGAGGAGGAGGACCCATTCGCAAAAATAAGCACATCATCCGCGAACGCCAAATGAGTTATGGAGGGGCAACCATATGGAACTTTAAACCCCAAGAAACCCGATTGCACCATGAGTGCATTTAAGCCTCTCGACAAGACCTCGGCCGCTATAATAAATAGTGTCGGCGACAATGGGTCACCCTGACGTAACCCTCTCATAGATTTAAAGAATCCGTGCGAAGACCCATTAATCAGAACCGAAAACTAAACATTAGACAATAGCCGCCATACCATATCTATGAAACGCTCCCCAAAGCCAAACCTCCGCAAGACCCCAATAATATGCAACCAAGATACCCTGTCATAAGCTTTGGACATGTCTAGCTTCAGAACGACGTTGCCACCCCTAGCTTTTTTCCCAATACCCACCACCACCTCTTGAGCTAGTAGATAATTCTCCGATATATTGCGGCCCTTAACAAACCCTGACTGCTGGGGGGAGATAATCCTTGGCAAGACACCAGCCACTCTATCAGCCAAGATTCTGGATAACAACTTGTTAAAGAAGTTACACAGACTAATCGGTCTAAATTGAGAGAGATCCTGAGGATTCGAGACTTTAGGAAGCAGCACGATCGAGGTAGAGGTGACGAAGCGAGGAAGTTCTGCCCCATAGAAAAAGCTGAGTACCGCATTATAAACATCCTGAGCAATAACCTCCCATGCAAAGGTGTAAAATTTACCTGTGAATCCATCAGGGCCCGCTGCACTGTCCCCATCCATTGCCCTTACCACTTGATGCACCTCCTCTATATTAGGAGCTGCCTCAAACATGCAATTGTCCTCCGTTGTAATCAAGGGTGGAATGAGGTGCAACATATCGGAGGCAGCCTCCAACGGTCCAGCAAAAAGATTAGAAAAGTACGTGATTGCCTCACTTGCTATCTCAGCATCCGTATCCACCCAATCACCGTTGGATTTCTTTATTCGATGTATCAGCCCTTGGGCCCGTCTCTGCCTGACCACCGCATGAAAATACCTCGAATTACGATCCCCACTTCGAAGCCATTTGACACGTGCCTTTTGACTCCAATACTGCTCTTCAATAGACAAAGCATAGCGTAGCTCCGCTTGAGCCTTCCTGAGTTCCACTTGACCCGCTTCCGAATCATCGTGATCCACAGCCTCCTCAGCCCTTTGTACCGTCTGCTCCGCCTCACGAACATCATCGATCACATTTCCAAAGCATTGCTTGTTCCAGACCTGAATAGCTCTCCTCGCCGCTAATAATTTAGAGCACAATACACGCAGTGGAGAACCACTTGCTTCTTGACCCCAGGCATGTCTAATCACCTCCAAAAGGTCCGGTTTAGTCGTCCAGACATTCAAGAATCGGAAAGGCCTTGGCTTATTGTCACTCAGAGAAGCAAACGAAATCTTCAACGGCGCATGGTTCGAGGGATGTCTCGCCAAGTGAACCACAGAGATGGCTGCAGAGAAGTCCAAACATTTCGCATTGACTAACAGCCTGTCCAATCTCTTTGACACTCTAGCTCTACCTCTCCGATTATTACACCACGTGAAGCTAGGCCCTGAAAAGCCCACATCAAAAACCCCAGCCTCCTCCAAGAAGGACATAAACTCCACTCCCTCAGCTACAGCAAATGGTCGGCCTCCCCGTTTTTCATGAGGAGCCATTATGACATTAAAATCCCCCCCAATGCACCATGGCAGAGAGCTAGGCTTATCCGCTACTAGGTTGCTCCAAAGTTCCCTCCGCTCCTCCACGGAGCACTTTGCATGAACAAAAGACATTATAATTGACCCCGGCATCAACGGAGATTGCACAGAAAGAGATAAATGTTGACTCGAATTACCAACCATGGAACACACGAAAGGACTATTGTAGAACACCCAAATATCTCCCGAGCAATTCACAAGCACAAAATCAAAATGTAAACGTAATCGAATGGACTCAATTCTAGACACATCTAGTTTGGGCTCACATATTGCAACGAACTTAGCCTGATGAGACTTTACTAAACTAATCAATCGTCTCAAATTAGGGGCTTTAGCCACCCCTCTAATATTCCAAAAGATGCCATTAATCATGAGATAATACCTGAAAGGAGTTATGGGAAGATGTCGCGGACCGAAGCTGTCTGTCAGAGGGAATGCGAGCACGCACACCCTTCCCTCTCGCTTGCTTGGCATCTCTCTCAACTGCTTGAGATTGGTCAATGTTCAAAGCCACCACCGCTGACTCCCCCACCCTCTCTTGTCGAACAACCAGCCGTGGGGAGAGATTCCCTGCCACAGGCGATAACCCAATGTCGACGTCCCCTTGGCTATCGTGAGGCACCTCCTCCCTCCCACTCAAATCAACAACTAAACTCCCCAGCTCGCTGTTGTGCAGCAGAATCAGCTGCCCCGCGTCAGCCTGCTGTGTATCGCGCACCCCTTGCTCCCCGTCCAACGTCCCCTCCCTTCCGTCACATGCAACCTGTCCCTCCTGGCCAGCAGCTGTAGCATCCTGCCCACTCTCCCGTAGTTGCCCACAAGCGGCGTTGGATCGCATGCCCTCCACCCCAGCCTCTACCTGCTCCGTCAAGACTCCCTCTGTCGCCAAAGGGCCTATGGGTCGGTCCCAATCTGGTGCGCCATCGACCTGCCCAATGCTCTGCAGCAGTGTCAATGTCGCATCAGCAACAAGCGAACGAACAGGCTGCTGTACAGGGTCCGTCGTCGCCGCTTCCGCAGCCGTGTCCGCCTGACTTTTGCCTCCGTCACCAGCCAGGATTGAAGGCTGCCCCACCATCAACTCTGCTCGTGTTGAATCCCCAATCTCCCCAGGCGTTGATACACCTCCCTTGGCCTCCTCGACAGCCTCAGCAGCTTCACGCTGCTTTACGACTTGAGCCTATTTGCCCTTAAGCACAGCCCCAACACCATTGTGCGTATCCTTCTTGCATTCCTCCACCGAATGGCCCAATCTCCAGCAGGCGCTGCAGTACTTAGGTGTGTTCTCCAACACTATATTTTGCCAAAAACCTCCCTCTCCTTCAACAGCCACCCACACCCGCGAACAGATTGGTTTTAACAAATCTACCTCTACACACACCCTTGCTACGCTCGGTCTCATGCCCGCTGCCGTTGCCGAATCCAGGAAGAGTGGTTTCCCAACTGGTGCCAAAATAGAGAATAACGAATGTTTGTCAAAGTAGTGAACAGGAAGGGCCGGCAGAGATGCCCAAACTGGTACCAAGGCTGACTCCTTCTTCACATGGAATTCCCTAGTCCAACGAAAAATGCGCATAGGATATTTCCCCAGTTGCCATATCCCACGAGTCTAGATACGGTTAAAATCTTGTTCGGCAGAGCACTTCAGAAGAACATGTCTATAATCCAGGAGCCCAATGGATACTTGATCCCTCAGATTTAAGGAGGAGAAGAACTTACGAATCCCCTTCCAAACTAGGCCGCCCGTACGAGAATTTCCCCACCAGAGCCCAGCGGAAAGGAGTTGCTAGCTTGTCCGCCTCTGCTTTGGAGAATACAACAGCCGCCTCACCCTTGTATTTTGTTGTTGGCTTCACCTGGATTGGAGATTCGATAGGCTGCGAGAATAGCTGTGCGAAAGATTTTGCCGTACTTGGGGAGCAAGGACCCCCATCCGCCAAGGGCTGCGGCGCCGCCGTGGAGGAGCCGCCAGCCACCATCGTATGCCCAGGGTTGCCGCTCATGCACGTCCGAAGTTCTTGGCAGCCCTAGAGAAAAAACATTTAATAATTGTTTTATCTACTTGATGATTTATGTTGCTATGATAATGTTCTAATAGAGTCTTCTATATGAAAATTTATTCCTATTGATTTACAGGCAAATTCTAATGCTTCTAAAAGATCATAAAAGCCTTTATATGAAGGATTTTTCACTTCTTTAATTTGTAATAAGAACTTTGTCTAGAGGTGAGCAAATTCGGTACGTACCGAATTCATACCCGAATTCAAATTCAATTTGGTAATTTGAAATAGGGTATTTGGTAATTTGGTACAAAAGCGGTATTTACCGAATTCACCGAATTCTAATATGGTATGAAATAAGTAATGAGATTATGAATTTGGTAATAACCAATTTTGAATTCGTTTATAAAGAATTGGTTTAGTATTAGTATATACTACTAATATATTATTATATTATATAGGTAAATGCTATTAATAATATTTAGTATATGGTATTATCATGTACTTATGATAATAATAATATATAATAATGTACAATATATTATTTTAATATTTGTTAATTGTTATATGACTATAATAATACAAATATACAATAATACATAACATAACTATAATACTTATTATTTTATACATATTTTATAACTTATTATTTTATAACTATAACTATAATACTTATTATTTTATACATGACTAGAATTAGATAATAATTAATAAGTATAGGTATAATATATAACTATATTTAGTATAACTATAATACTTATTATTTTAATTAGGCCGAAAACTGCAATTAAAGGATTCAACAATTTTTTTTTAAATGAATTCGGTTAACCCGAATTCATTACCGTTTCCGAATTCAAATTTGAAATTGAATGAATTCGGGTATCTCCAATTCGAATTTGAAAGCGGTTTAGAATTCTGTAAGTTTAATAATTGAATTTACCAAATTCATATAACCGAATTACCGAATATGCACTGTTTGCTCACCCCTACCTTTGTCTATGAAGAATAAATGCCTGGTTGTTGACCTCGAATAAAATGTAAAACTTCTAGAGGGTAATTTGCTAAAATAATATGCTAATGCATTTAGACTTCTCACCTTTTGGAATACATTTTGTTCATTCCATAAATTGTCTAGAAGTATTTGTTGTATTTCTTCTAATTGTTTGCTTACTTTTGCTCTGAATTGGGGATTTGTACTTGTGGGATACTTGTTGAGTTCTCATTCTCCGATTGTTGCCATCCTGTAAACTTTAATCAGAGGTTGGATATCTACTTAATTGGTCCAATAAACTATTATCTTTTCCTTCTATATGTTCAAAAATAATTTTGTAATTATTATTTATAAGAGTATCTTTAAATGTTAACCATTTTCTTTGACTAATTCTCTTTCTATTTTTATTATGATAAAATTTTAGTATTGCTTCACAATCTGTCCTAACTAATATTTCTTGTCTACTTATCAAGAATAATCTAAAGCGACTTAGGCCATATACTACAACTAAAATTTCTTGATCTATACTGCTAAGCAAATTCTTTTCTTTAAATTTTTCACTAGTATATCTACAAATTTTTTCTTCATTTTCATTACTATACTATGAGGTTTACTTTTCAGTACTACTCCCCATCCTGATTCACATCCATTAGTTTCTACAATTAAATAGTTAGTATCTAGAAGATTTGGTCTTTGTCTTTTTGTCCAAGTGTCCCTTTGCTAGTAGTAGCTTTAATAGTTAATAGAACAACTATTTTGAGCCTGTGAGGACAATTTTTGCATTCATTTATAATTTGATCAGTTAATCAGAGAATTAGATTTGCTCATCTAAGCTTATTCCTTTGTTTCCTTTCCTCCATGCTTCCTTCAAGATTTCTTCTCTTGTTGCTTCCGTATTACTCTATTATCACTATAAATTCAAATAATTAATGAAATCTGTGACAATCTCACCTTCCCCTAGGTTGTACCCTAAGGGCTAGCGGACTGCTTGTCCAACTCTCATCAGGACTCACTAACCCAAATATTTCCAGTGGGCACTAAAACGAATAACACAACTTCAAAACATCACAACCCAGTACTATATACAATAGAGTCACTAACGATTCAAGCTTAGAGTACAAGTCAAAGTATTAAATCTTACACAAATACATATGAGGTTTACTAATACAGAAGAGCTTAAACAAAATGCCTAAGGTCTAGTACTAGCTCAAATTCTTCCCAAAATCACCAACCCAAGCCATTGCCTCTGAAAGAGAAACAAGGATAATTGAATGAGCTTTCGCTTAATGAGCTACCATAGGGTCATGCAGTCATAAATAAAATGAGAAAATAAAATCACATAGATCAGTCATTAAGTTATCAAACATGAGTACCAATTTAAAGAGATAGACGAACACCACAATTAACATAGAGTGATTCTGGGAAAAGGATACAATTAGCTCTCGGGAGCTAAATTCCCAGTCACAGTAGCTTGATCCAAACCTATTGACATTCCGTCAATATTTAGAGAAGCAGAAACATTGTCCATAGTTCACTGTTTTACACCAATTTCCATCCACCATTCATTCCTCTTACCGGGCCTGAACACCAAACAACGAAGGTAATACCAGAGTATACCAAATTTTGGAATAAAACTAGAACTCAGTGAATTAGTAACAGTTTTCCCATGGCCTGTCAATCTACTTCGACCAAACCCTTATCGGCTCGATTCGATTAATTAACCAATGAGGTTTGGGCCCAAGTTGACAGTGCGGTTGTTGGATAGTATGTTCCAAACAACATTCAATTCAAGCACAAGTAATAGATTCTAATTCAGTAGTAGAACAATCAACAATCAAGTCGGGTCGAGTGTGATAAGGTGCATACCCGTCCAGCCAAGGGTAAAGCAAAGTCACAATCAAACAATCATAACTTTCAGTTACATAATAGTTCACTTAAGCAACAAGTCATACAGGTGACACACTCACTAGTTCAAAGTAGAGCAATGTTAAACGTTCGTCTCCGGGTTATTCTCGTTCAGCAACAAACCCTAAAAGCAATCAAGATAAAAGATATTATGGTCCAATCATCCAAAGCTTAGGTGAACCAAGGAAAAATCTAAATATTTACTAGGGCAATGATTCAAGTATAGTTTTTGAGTGAAAGGAAAACATTTGAACCCAATAAACATAAGTAACTAAAGGGAAAAATTATGTATTTATAACTCATGAAACTCAGCAAAACATACATAAAATATACACACGACTTTTGGAAGAAAAATGACCAACCTGGAGTTTAAAGTCTGACAATTGCAACTATAAAACGTGCTTGAAGCAACCATTACTTTCTTTTTTGTATCATACATAGTTTTTGACAAAAATTCAGCTTATGCGTCACAACCAAGGTGGATTCAGGCAACCATAAGCAACCTAAGTCCAAATAGACCAAAAATCACACCTCTACCCTCACTCTTACTTGCTTACATTATAAGAAAGAAAAAAAAACAAAACAAAACCAGTAGCATCGCCCCTAATTTCCTTAAGTTTCTCCTCCAAATTAAAATTTTAACTTCATGGCAAATCAACCTTAATCACGATCACAAGTACTTGTTCTAGGCCACAAAGCTAGCCAAATTGGACATATACCTAGCTCATATACAACCATACCAAAACTGAAAAATTGAACCTTAAACTGGAATTTACAAACAAAAACTAGAAATTTCTATAGTGAAGCGAAAAGTGCATACAAAAACTAGAAAATCCTCATGGCAAGACTAAAAGGACAAAGCAAACCTGAAATTAGCATTTGCTGGAATTTCTCAATCAAAGTTGGAAATTTCGAACTACTTCACAAAACTATGAAATTTTCCATGAATCCTACAATAATCAAGACATAAATCCATTGAAGTTCAAGATGAAAGAGAAAAGGTAGTTTCTTGACATGAATACCTTCAAACCCTAAGGAGAAATGCAAACAAGAGCTTTCTTTTTCACAGATCACTCCACACAAGCTTTCTCTCCTTCCTTGATACAACTTCCTACGGATTGGATTAGGGTTTTAGGATGGATTTTTCAAGGAATCAAGCAAGAAATCAAGTAGAAATTGGAGTTTTCTCCTCTCTTTTTGTCTCTCTTTAGTTTGGCCAAGGAAGAAAAATGGAAGAATTTTTGGTGAAAATTGCAAGATAAAAACTACAAGAAGTCTTGGTCAAAGTCAAGTTTTCATGGTTTTGTGACAAATGGCAAATCAACAGCTAATCCTTATCTAATTGTCTTCCAAGCACTAAAATATCTAGTCAACTTTTAATTATCTCTTAACACCTTATAAAACAACATCCCTTTGCAAAAGCTCCTCCTAATCTTTCAAATTTATCGCACACACCTCATTAGTGGGTCCCACTTTCATAAAGCACTACGAACTTAACATGCACTAACTTATAAAAGAAAAATAATAAAAATCTTGACTCACTTATGAAAGTATGTAAGAAATTAATGCAAATAAAGTAAAGTAAAAGAAAACGTATTCAAAGAAATAAGATAAAATATAAAATAATTGTCACAAGTCCTCACAAAATCAACTTATGCTTGTAATTTATTACCATTTCATTAATTTGATTGAATTTAGGGGCCAAATTCCTGTTTGGTAAGCCTGATTACCATTATAGTGGTATTAGAGCTAGCTACAAGAAAAGAGAAAAAATGACTAAAATTGTTGAGAATTTAATGACCAACATTGTGAGAATTCAATCGTGAGAGATATGCTTGATCTAGGTAATGTTATGAGAGGAGTAGTTAGAGAAGTGAAGGGTAGATCAGGCAATCAAAGGGATTGAGAGCAAACAGAAGAGCATAGAAAAATCTTTGAAAAATCTAAAAGCAAAATATGATTCTCTGATGAATACGTTTGCAAAAAATGTGACTTTGATCTAAATGAGTAAGGGTAAAAGGTGGAAGTAACTCTGGACAAGATGATTTGGTGGTTTCAGGAGCTACGAAAGAAGATCATGGAA